CTCAAATTCCTAATTTTTTAAATGCTGTTTTGTTTACTGACGAAGATACTTTTGGACGACAGCGTATACGAAATTTCCATAACATCACTTATGGGCTGAGGAAAACCCCCATGGAATCTTTGAAGCTCATTTTCAGCATCAGTTTTCCGTAAGTGTATGGCTTGGGGTAATTGATGATCATCTAATCGGTCCATATTTGCTCCTACAACGACTAACAGGCGAATCATATCTTAATTTCCTACAGGAAGAGTTACCTGTTATTCTTGAAGAAATTCCTCTACAGCTGAGACAACACCTATGGTACATGCATGATGGTGCACCAGCCCATTTTAGTATTAATGTACGTAATCACTTAGACACAGTACATCCAAATCGTTGGATAGGTAGGAGAGGCACGGAACATTGGCCTGCTCGATCGCCGGATTTAAATCTTCTTGATTTTTGCATTTGGGGTTTTCTTAAGTCATTAGTTTATTCCACTCCCGTTGAAAATGTTGATGACCTGAGGAATCGAATTATAGTCGGCTGGGAGACAATAAGAAATATACCAGGAATAGGCGAATCAATGAGGCGAAGAGTTGAATCTTGTGTCACGTCTGAGAGAGGTAATTTTGAACATTTGTTGTAGCTTTGCGCCTTTTCAAAATTTTATTAGTATCATTTTCTGTTATTGTTCTGGTTTAATGTTATTGTATTAGAATAGTTCTTGATAATGTGTTAAAGAAATAAAAAATACGCGTTAAGCTATTTTATTTTTTGCATCAAAACGACGCCCCATACGAAGAAAAAGCAAGAGAGATTTTTTGTCACAAATTGAACGAAGAATTCAAAAATGATTTTTTAATTTATAATATCTTAGTGGCGTACCATTTTTTTCTTTAAAAAAATTGAGATTATTACCCGTACGCGCGCCAATGATGAACATAAAATTTTGACACCCCGTATTTCGGAAAACGAATCATTTGCGGACATACGTTTATAAGCAAACTGCCATTATTTTCTCATGTAGAATCACCCCCTGAAATTTGTCGCACTTATTTACTAACGCCCTGTATAAGTACATATTATTGTAACAGTCTCGTTTTTTCCTTAAATTTATAGAGAAATTAGATTATTGTATTGAATGTATTTACGTAATATTGTATTGTATGTATGTTTTTTTTTGTATAAATAATCGCTTCTGAAATAATATATTGAATTAAGTATTATTACATCTGGAAGACTATACAATAAATTAAATTAAATGCACACATACATGTAAATGCAAATTTAAAGGTTAGCCTAAACATCGAAGTGTTTGCAATGCTATAACTTTTTAAAATAATATAATATTTAAATTACAGCACAAAGAGCACAAGAATATAATATTTAAATCATAGCAGAGAAAACACAAAAATGTAGGAGAAAAAAGGAGAGGAGACAGGCACCACGAAGTAATATGCACAATGCACCATGTAGATATAAGTTATAACTAATAAAAATATTGAAAAAAGTTCGATGTTGTTTAATGTATAATTTTACACAGTTTTTGATTTTTTTTATTTCAATTGGAAGCATGTTATAGAGTTTAGAGCCATATAAACATATTGAATGTTGTGTATGGACTTTTTTAAATAATCTTTTTTTTTTGCACGATATATGTAGTTTTATTGTTGAAAGTCCACAGCAAACAACGATAGGTAAAAATATTTCTTACATGAAAAAAACATGTTTCTTTGTATAACTGATCAGTTGAATAAAATTTATTTTTTTTTTAAATATGATTTTTATTACCTATGGTGTTTTGAGCAGCTTAAACATTATGTAAGAAGGAGTTACTTAAACCACCCATGCTGTTATACAATACCGTATGATTGATTATGTTAAGGAATAATATAACATGGTTAAATTCTGTTGTGATAAAATGTGTCTTAAAGTGTAGAATTGGTGTGCTTTCTTGATAAGTACATAAAAAGCATGCTCATCCCATCTTAGGTGCTGATCCAGGATAATACCTAGGTATTCAATGTCATGTCTTTTCTGTATATGAGGACACAGACAATCATTATTGTTAGAACAATCAGTGTTACGAATTTTTAACACTTATTAGGCTGATCCGTATTTGTTAAACTAAAAGTTCAAAATTTTGTTTTTTTTTATATTTAAACTTAATTTATTGAAGTTAAGCCACATTTGTATTTTTTTAATTCAAATTCAGTAGTATTATACAGATCAGACCAGTTATTACCTTCGAGTATATGCTCGAAGGTTATTACCAGAGTAAATGATTACAGTGTCGTCTCCATACGAAATAAAGTGACCTTCGAAATTTTCTATGCAACTGATACCATTAATATATACAAGGAATAATATAATAATAGGACCTAAAACTATGCCCTGTGGTACACCAACAAAAATTTCTTTAGGTTCACTCAGACAGTCGTCTATTTTAATTCTTTGTATTCTATGTGACATATAATCTCAGAACATATCTAGAACAGGGCCACGGGTACCATAATTTTCCAACTTGTTTAACAATATACGAAATCTTTGGTATGTTTATAACAAATTAATTCAAATTTGTCGTGGTGTTAACATTTACACACGTGCATAATTTACTGTAAAATTTACAAATTTGTGTAGCTCACTGGCGTAGGAATGGGTAATAAAGCGGGTTTTTTTACCCCAACTTCTACGACAATGAGATAATAATCTTTTGGAATTCATGTTTAGCTTTGACAGAAACATTGATGATCTTATTTTATATTCTTCCTTCCGACATTTCTCGAGATATTAGGCAGATATCATAATATGGTAACTCCGCATAGTTAGTGCGATCATGCCTAATAGTTCCTCTGTGAACCAGTGGCGGCTCTCCAGGTGAAGCAAGTGACGCACCGCTTCACCTAAAATTTTCGTTTGGTTGGTAATTTAAAATTATTTTTAATTTGATATAAATTTTAAAATTTACGTATAATTCTATATTGAAAGTGTATTATGTTTGTTTGATTTATACACAGAACTAAACAGAATAGTTGCGCGGTGACTGCCTTCTAAAAATCAATTGCCTTCGTTGAGCGCGAACACCAACCTCGTATGTACCTACTATACAACGTACAGCATAAGTAAGTTACGCGGACATAAATCAGTTTGTATTTCGCTCGCTTCACTTCGTAACGTTGTTTACGGCGGTTGTCATGGCAACGAGGCGGCCAACACGGGAGTAAACTACGGCGTAGGGAAACGAGTGACGCAGAAATTGAAGCATCATTGTCATCGCCCATCGCCTGCATTTAAGCAGTTTATACGATACGTTGCTCAGTGCACAATTATAACGGTTCTTTGTTAATATTTGTTTTGTATCAATAATTGCAGAAAGTTTCCTAAGCATCATCTAGTATGTATCTTATTGAAAACGCCATTTTCCAGATGGAAAATTGAGAACAAAAAGGATTTTCAAATTGTGAGAGACCTTCTCTCGATGTGGAAAAAAGGGGGAGGTCAAAAGACGAACTCAAATGGTATTTGTAGTATAAGTGGTTGTGTGAAACTGTTTATTTAAAAAAAACTTTTCTGTATGCCGTGTTTAATTGTGTTTCTATTTTTTATAAAATCTAAATGAAAATCCTTCTCGTTAACGTCAGTTTTTCGGTAATATTGCAAATGTAATTAAAAATTTCCAGATTCATTTAAGGCCGTTTGACCTTGAAAATTTTCAAATTTTTTCGCGCCTTTTCCCTCTTTAGTTAATCAATGAATATGCTTCACCTATTCTCAATGTCACGAGCCGCTACTGCTGTGAACCAGTAATATTTGTAGAGTATACCAGGCTTTTATTTATAAAAACGGTATTTTGTCCCTTTTTTGAAGCCAATATAACTTTTAATTTTTCAAAAACTAACATATATTTTACCAAAAACTCTGGACGAACCGATAGCTCGGGGAAAACCGATATTGAGGTTATTTTTATAACAGATTTGAGACTAATACAAATGAGATATTATTCGACAACTTTTTATTTCTAGCAAAGTAACCCCATCCCATGGTATACTTGTTGAAAATCGGTATAGTTTATCGTTTTACCGTAAATATCAGTTGAACGGGAGACCGTTCTTCCGATAAGAAATTTAGTTTCTTAAGGATGGGAAATAAATTTCAAATTAATATTATTATAACGGTGCGTTGAATCGAAAAAATAATTAAAAAAATTTCCCCAAACCCCTGGTTCTGTATGTCCTTCTACTTATAAGATTGAGGATGATATACTTCTCGAATTATGCAATGCAGAAATGCCTCATCTTAGAGGAAAAAGAAACTAAAGAAACTATTTTCAGGAATACGATGGTTTTTTGGGTTGGTATGCCGTGGGCTGTGTCCTGGCTTGGTCGCCGACAGTACAGAGCTACAATGATCTGCCCTTGTTGTTCTTGGGCTAGGCTCTGTGGAGGCGCATCCGTTATGAGCAAATGCACAATCAAATGCTTTCCAACCAGTGTATTTTCAGGATATTTAAATTGAGCACTCTCGACACCCATGCCCTATGTCCTTATAAATTTTTAAAGTAAGAATAATTAATTAAAAGGTACTTACACCTTCGAATGCTAATTTGGAAAAACTTAAGACCTCTGTAAACAAAGGCATGAATTATCTGGAAATAATTAAACAGCAAAAAATGCAAATGTCACGGATATCGATTGAAGGGTAGGCGCCTGAACGGCGTAGGAGCTTCGGCGATACCAACCCCCGAATCATAGGGTAATGTGGAAAAAGCGACCACTGCTTCCAGGGAAAATCGATACCAACACCCGTCTGTGAAGGAAACCTGGGCGAAAATGTAAAAAGTGCGCTGATCCAGAGTGAAGCAAAGCTTAACAAGACAAAGTGAGTAGCTTCCGTTGTCTTCTATTCTATATATTGCAGAAAGAGGTAATCTAACAGGAACGGTTAATAGTAGGGGACATAACCACAAAAAAAATCGTAAGGGGCCCATCATTTATTTGTATTTTTACGCGAATTTTTAGATGTTGGAAGGAGCCGTTGCGAGGATACTAAACCAGTTGCTGGGAAAATATGTCGTTGACCTTGACACGGAAAATTTAAATGTCGGAATATTCTCTGGTCACGTGCAATTGACAGATTTGAAATTGAAGCCGGAAGCTCTGGTAAGAAAAATCGCAGCTATATTTGCAAAAAGTCAAAATAACCTGTATTTCTATATGTTCTCAAATGTGTTGCAAATTTGATTTACTTTCAATTAATGGGAGGAGATTTTTGAAAAGAAACCAATATTTTTGTGTTAAACTGTAAAATTAAATTTAAAAAAATGTATGTTGCTCTACTAAAATTGTTTTACGGAATTAAATGTTTTACTCATATACGAACAAGAATTATTTACTGAAAAAAAAATTAAGTTTATTTAATATCTTAATAATGGAACGTTTTCTTTTCCTCAAACTATTAAACTGCCTATCAGTGGAAACAAAAATTTATTGACCACGTTAAGGAGGTGCATATAGTCCACGGGCCCACGTACAAAGAAAAAAATGATTACCAGCAAGCTGTAACTTTGCGTTCAGCTTAAGTTTATTTGACGAGTCTCCCAAGATTTGACTACAAGGAAAATTCAACAGTGGTAAGTTTTCCCGTGATTTTCAGGAAAACATGTCAATCTGGCATAAACATGGAATGTTATGACCAACACTTTTTTTAAGTTTAAATGAAAGATATATTTTTTTAAAGCCCCCAAAAAATTTGTTAGACAAAAATGTTGGTATTTTGAGTTGGTCCCCATCCCAAATATGTCGATTTGGTGACATTATGGTTGGTGACACCAGCAAGCTGATTTTTCTGGGAGGGTTTGGTAATAAGATTTGAAATGAGAGTATCTTATTGTCCGACAAAATTATTGAGAAGTTTTTGCAGTCCGACGCCCCGAAGATGTCGACTTAACGACAACATGGTTGGTGATAACCAGCAATCTGGTTTTGATTTTTTTTTTTCTCTAATAATTGAAATGTATAACACAATAATATACTTGTCCGCCAAAAGATTGGAAAATTTGCCTTAAAAATGGGAAAAATAACTATTTTTGTAGTACCTAATGTTCATTCCGCTATAAAATAATTAATTTTTTAATGAAAAAATAAAGAAGAATAAATAAGAAAATTATCTTGTTAACAGGAGCAACAGAAATTGAAATTCATAAATAATTATGTCTAACTAATTTAATTAATCTCCATCAAAATGATTTCTTTGTTCAAAAAACTTATATGTACATTTTATTTTATAAACTATTGTAACTATTTTATA